TTGAAACCCCAATCATTTTTTTTTGAGACAGGGTCTCACTTTGTAGTGCAGGCTAGATTTGAATTCCCTATGTGGCTGAGACTAGCCTTGAATGCGCAGTGATCCTCCTGTTTCATCTTCTGAGTGCTGGAATTGTAGGCATGTGCCATCACACCTGCCTTCAAACACTTTTATTAAATGCTAAAAATGTATTTGTTTAAAACCCAGAAGCTATTGGGGGTTGGGAGATGACATACCCTGTAACCCCAGCATTCTGGCAGGCTAAGGCAGGGAGACTCCAAATTCAAGCCCAGCCTGAGCATCCTAGAGATTTAGTGAGAGCCTGTCTCAAAATTTGAAAAAATGGATAAAGATGTAGCTCAGTGTGAAGGTACTGGCTTTAATCCCTAGTATTGGGGAAAAAAGAAAAGAAGTCACAAACTGCTGGCCCTGTTGAGAAGCAGGATGTAGAAAGATTAACACGGAGGAGGGCACAGAATCCCCAGACTGCCTTATGGAAATGCAAATATGTAGCCATTGCCCTAAGAACCCAGTTCTTTACTGGGCCAGTGAATAGGATGTGTGGACACCCCTTTAGCTGAGAGCACAGAGCAAAGTAGGTGTGGGATCCAGAGGCAGACTGGGCAATGGGGCAGGGGAGACGGATACTGGAATGTGGCAGTGAAAGTGAGGTGCGCTCCCTGAAATTCAGCTTTGCCTCCTGGCTTGGCTACCAGATGATCTGACTGTGCGTGAGCAGGTGGGGCAACTTTCTCCATCCGTGTGTACTAGTAAACACTCACTGAGTGTTTACTATATGCCATGTATTATTTGTATACCATAGCAAGTCATTCTTATAATCATTCTACCAGGGTTTGTTATTAGTCCCATTTTGCAGAAATTTCACAGAAACCCAGTGCAGAGAGGTGAAGCAGTTTACTCAGTCACATAGCCAAGAAGTAGAAGCAGTTGGACTTTCTAATTTTACAGCTTGTTGTTATTGAGATACCAGTGGTGACATTTTGTGATGGAGGCACCCAGAGACAATTAATGGGTGTTATGTGGCTGTTTCATAATGGCAATGAATGATCAGCGAGTGTGGCTGGCTTCTGCTTTATGATACTTGCTTAGGCCTAGTTAGGCCTTGTGAGTCACAGTGCCCCACAATCAGAGTTCTGTCATTGTTTGCTGACTAGGAGCACACTTTCTATGCAGAAGACTACAGTCACAGGCAGACATTCTATGACATTATGTTTGCCATTTTTCTCTTCCCCCGCTTCTCCTCTTCCTCTCCTCTCCCTCTCCCTTCCTCTACCTTTTCCTCCCCTTTTTCCTTTCCCCTCCTCCCCTCTATACTCCCTGCCCCCTCCCCTTTCTCCTTCTCCTTCTCCTTCCCTGGCCATTTTTTCATTTTTTATTTGAGGCAGCATCTTTCTAAATTGCCCGGAGTGCCTCTAATTATCTGGCCCATAGTATACTTTCACCTCAGGATAGATTCCCTTGATGATTTCAAGCTGGACACTGCAGAATCTGACCAATTTGGTTTTTTTCCTAACCAATGTAGATTTTTGAAAAAAAATTTTTTTAGTAGGTGAGGGACAAACTATAAAAATGAAGAACTAGATAAAGCAATAGTTTATTACTGCAAAAGACAATATACAATTACTGTACACCATATATGCATGTGATAATTTTTAATTGTGATGCTGCATTGTATGAGGATAGTGCCTTTCTTCCAAGGGCAAAGAGCTTGAAATAGGGGCCAAGTTATTTTTTCCCCTGAGTTTACCATGAAAGAGAAATTTGAGTGCCTTTTGTTCTTACAAAACTCCAAGTTACAAATCACTCCAAAAGGAATTAAACTGCCGTTGGTAACATGAGGCCAGGGAACTGATGTCAATTGTGTGGATTCCAGCAGGGAAACAAGACCAAAGTGGACAGCACTGAATGACTGGAATGAGAGACAGAACATTGTGAAGGACAAGATGTGCAGACTTCTAAAAATTTAATGAGGATATGACTTGACACGTGAACCCCTGTTGTTTGCCTGGGCAGAATGGAGCATGTTAATCTGTTCAAGAGCATCTCCATTCCTACATGAAATTAGATTCTGGAAAACATTCCTTTCATGATTCGGAGCCTACTGTGAGCTGGCTATGGTGTGTGCCTTCCCCAGACTGAACTGGCCTCTTCTGAGCAGATGTAACGGATTAGTTGAGGTCCCCATCTGCCACCACTGTGCCTGCGTTTCTTGACCCTTATCAGGAGAGATGGGAACTGCTTGGTGCAGGATCTGAAAGCAGGCACAGCTCAGGCAGCCTGCACAGCCAGCCTCTTACTGGCCAGACAGAAAAGAAATCAGCCCTGGCAGGGACTTGGGGCTTGTGACCCTTAGCACTGGGAGAGACTACTTCTGTCTGATTTTACAGACTTCCACTTGCAGGATGAAGATGAATGTACAAAGAAGTCTTGACCTTTGCAGAATGTGTACATTTGTGTTTCTGAAATTATTTCTGCAGTAGTTGAAAGGCTGATAAATGGGTTTCAACATGTTTTCAGAATGCCCTCCTCACCTACCAAGTACTGTTGGTTTCCTCCTTTAAAAAAAATATGGCCATGGCCTATAGTGGATTGTCGACATAAAATAAACAGATTATAGCCTCTATTTTTTTTTTTTTTTGTCTTTTTCCTTTTTATCGGTACCAGGGATCGAACTCACGACTGCCTGCTTGCAAGGCAGGTGCTTATGCCGCTGAGCTAAATCCCCAGCCCCTATAGCCTCTATTCTGAAAGTGGGTTTAAAAAAAAATTTTTTTTTTGGTCTTTTTCTTTTTTATTGGTACCGGCGATTAAACTCACGACCACATACTTGCAAGGCAGGTGCTTATGCCGCTGAGCTAAATCTCCAGCCCCTAAAAAATATTTTTGAGACAGGGTTTTGTTATGAGTTCACACTGGTCTTGAACTTACCGTGTAGCCCAGGTTGGTTCAAGCTTCATGGTGATCCTCCTGCTTCAGCCTCCTGAGTTCTGGAATTATTGGAAAGCACTATTACATGGCTTGGTACTGAAGGAGAATATTTATAAAGAGGGTAGGACAAGAACATTACAAATAATTACTCGCATAATTACTTGCTTAGTGCTTATATTCTAAGCCATTTATGCCATGAAGATAGAGACTAGAATACATGAGTTACCTAAATCAAACTGATTGCAACAATGTAGTAATTGGGTTTAATACTATTATGTTGGATCTATATCTGCTGCATGAATTGTTCTTATAAATTCATTTATAAAACTTTCAACATTCAAGCAAACAATCCAAAAGTTATACATAACTGAGTGCCTGTTTTAGTGGGTAGCCAGTGTAATTAATGTTCCCTTATGTGGAGGCAACATTAATGTGATGACTCTAATTCCAGCACCTTGGAGGCTGAAGCAGGAGGGCTAGCAAAAGTTCGAGACCAGCTTGGGCTGCATAGTGATTTCAGTGCTAGACTGGACTACATAGTGAGACCCTGATTCAAAAAACAAGAAATAAAAAAAAGTGAAGGTTTAAAAATCTTCCAGTTTCCCCAGTAAAACACAGAAATGACACACATCCTACACCTTTATTCTCCCAACAGTTTTGGAAGCTTTTTCAAAATGGGGGCAATATTTTTACAGATCACTGGGCTTGCTTTATTCTGATGCAAATTAGATAAGCTGGAGATCAGAAAACTAATTTTCAGATTCAAACTCTGAAAGAAGCATCTCCAGATCAGTCTGAGAAGCCTAAAGAATTACAAATTGACATTGAAAAGCATTTATAATTGATAATACTTTTGAGTTCAACTTTCACATAACACATTATCAAGTTCAAAGTATACTGTCTTCTTTTCTCAGCAATGATACTGTTATCCAGAGATAACAAAGCTAACAGGAACAAGATCAGGAAGCCACATCTGTGGGTTGGGACTTCAACCTACATCTCCTGTCTCCCAGTTTTATCACACAAACCGTCAAACATCTTATCTACACCCAGAAGTGTCCTGGAGTTCTAGGAAGCACCAAAATGTTGGTGTCTAATTTTTTAGGTTATTAGGAAACTGAACTCTTTGGAATCATTCCACAACCTTTCACAAAAAGGTGAAAACTGTCTGTTTTGATAGATGGTGGTGGAAGGAGCCTTTGATTCAATGAGCAATTTGTAAATATAGAACAGTGACTGGAAAATTCTATTAGAGATGACGTATCTCCTCTGTTACAATGTTTGCTTCTCTTTAATGCAATTTGGTTCGACCAGAAAGGGTTGGGAGGACTAATATTCAGTGCTACAGGAGGAGTTACTGGAAAAGAGACAGGAAGAGAAAGTCCATAGATGTGGAACAGGGGCGAACTGAGGCCTCCTGCCCAGTTCCTGGCTGTGCCCAAGGGAAATTGAATTCAGAACTCCTTCTGCATCATAAATCCAGGACAGCTGGCAACCATCCAAGGGAGATTGGTGCTAACTCCAAGGGCATCTGATGCCAGGCTGGCCAACTCCTCTAATGCGCGCTAAGGGCTGGGCCCCAGGTGTGGCCGATTGAGATTGGGGTTCTAGCTTCATGACAACATTCATTACAAGTCTTACATTTTGTTAATTTTAAAATGCACCCATCGTGAGGCTAAGAGGCTCCATTATATGTTAGAAAGCTGGAAGGCTGCAATTTTTCTGACAGGTCCCTGGGCCGGAGGGAGAAGGCCTGAGTCGATGCGTTCATTTTTACATCTTTTTCTAGAGTGCACGTGCCAACTGGACACCGGGTTTTGTAGAGTATCCTGGCGTCCCAGACCCCAAGTGCGTCCCCAGGTTGTTGGGAGGCGGGGACTAAGAAGGTCTGGAGGTGCGCGCGCTGGGGGTCTGCTGCCGAGAGTCTGGGTCTCGGCTCTTTGGAATCCCGAGACAGCAGACGGGTTCCCGCGGGCAGGGCTGGGCTGGGAGTCCTCGGCCCCGCCCACCGCGCCCGGGAGGGGGCGGGGCCCGAACACGTGACGGCGCGCCGAGCGGCCGCCCCACCCGCGGGAGGAGGCCCGGCCGCGACCCGGGCCGCGGGCTGAGGAGCGACTCGGGCGCCCGCACGCTACCGCCACAGACGGCGCCCCTGTCCCGGACCCCCGCCCGCCGGCCCCGGCTCGAGGGCCGCGGCAGTGGCTTCAAGATGGACGAAGACGGCGGCGGCGAGGGCGGCGGCGGTGAGTGTGGGAAGCGTGGCCGGTCCACCGGCGGCCTGAGCGGAGGGTCGCTTGAGGAGACGGGGTCCTGGGCGATGTCGCTGCTGACTGGTGGCCGCGCGAGGCCCGAGGCGCGCGGGTCGGAGGCGAGGCGGGGACGCCCGGCCGGGGTGAGGGAATCGCCGCGCGGCGCGAGCGAGACTAGGGCCGCCGCGGGCCGGGGTCGCCGAGGAGGCTCGGAGAAAAGAGGTGGCCCTTGTGAAGCGGGGGACCTTAGGGGGCGACCTTCCCCACATTGTGTCACCGAGGGCGTCAACGCCCTCCTGAGCACAGGCATTTGAGCGACCCCTTTTCAGCTTCTGTTCTTAGCTGGCGGGATCGGGCGCGCCCGTGGGAAATGGGGAGGGGAAAGTTTTGAATTGGGGCTCCTCCGGCGTCGTCCGGGTGGGGAAAAGAGAGGCTATATTGATGGGAAATCATGATTCTGTTCCTGGCGTTAGGTCAGAAGTAGTCTCTGGGAATTCTTTAAACGAGGGAGGGGAGCAGTTAAAGGAGTGCGTATGTGGGCATTTTATGGAATAGCAAAGGTTACAGAGTAAGCAATCACCCCCTCGAAGAAAAGAAAAGAAAAAAACATCGGAGTCACTGTTGCCGAGGGTGGGAGTCAAGGAGCCACAACCAACAGCTGAGGTGCGAGCTGAGATCAGGTGCGGATTCTGAAGTGGGTCATGCCGGTACCGGCGTGGCTCAGGATGTGCCTGACGATCCACTGGCTTTTGCTGGAAGTCTGTTGTAAATTATTTAGTGGAATACAGATTACTGTTGTATCACGGCGTGAAATAGGTTTTCAACAGGATAACATTCCTCTCTGTGTGGAATGAGCCATCGATTTCAGAAGTAAAGGGTTAACCGCCCTTCTCCTTTGCAGAAACGCTCTGGGTTAAGGCTTCCTATACTGTCTCTAATGATCTCCTTTTTGCTGACAGACGGAATCGTCAGAATCTCGTGTAATAAGGGAGTGTTTAGAAAAATCTTAATTACAGGCTGCTGCAGCAGCTGCCTGTAAGAATCAGCAGTATTGAAGGCTTTAGGATGAAGTGGTTAATCAAGGTGCCTTCTAGAACTTAAGTGCTCCTCCAAGGGAAACGTTTTTGCTTAGAGAAGTGATGCTGTGGGGCTGGTGGGAAGTTGGCAGGAGTCATGGCATTTAGCGAGTTCAGTTTTCATAGTTAAAATCAGGGTAGTTCTGTGGCACCCAGTGGGCGTGTTGTTTATGAAAAAGTGCTGTGACAAGAAGGAGCCCAGTTGCAAACCCTCCTACAAGCCAGGCTGTCGGTCTGGAGACACCGGATCCTAACTAATGGATTTCCTCTGGATGCCCTGCATTTTGCCTATTGCAATCTAGTGTAGCAGTTTTCCCCTTGTTAGAAAATAAAGGCAAACAACTGTAGTATTTAAACATTTAACATTAGAGTGAAGGAAGCTCTCTAGCTTGGAGATTTTGTTTGGGAGTGTGTTTTCTGACTCTGACTAAAGTGTGGAGGACTTGAAGGTAAAAGGAAGCTGGTGTACTCCAGCAGTTTATAGATCTAGAGGGTCCTAACAAAGGGTAAAATTATGTATCAAAAGTCTTAGAACTCTTGCCTGACAAGCACAAGTTCCTGAGTTCGATTTCCATAACAACAACAACAACGAAGCCTTAAAATTATTTTTTGGCTGTTAATATCTCTCCTGGGAATATTGTATATTCCAGGGAAACATTGAAATTCAAAAAAATATGTGATGCGTGGTGATGTCCATTACACTGTCATAAAAAATTGGAAACAGCAGTAGTGCCCAGTGGTCGGGGAATGGTGAAGTAAATATGTTGAGTTTATTAACTGAAACATTTTCCAGCCATTAAAAAAAAGCAGTTTTAGTGGAGTGTGGTGGTGCATGCCTGTAATCCTAATGTTCAGCTAGCTGAAGCAGGAGGATCACTGTAAGTTCGAGGCCAGCCTGAACTGCATAGTGAGACCTCGTCTAAAAAAAAAAAAGGTTTTATATGTTCCAGTCTGAATAGTGTAAAAACATGACATTATGGATGTTTTATTTTCTTAGTTTCTGAAATAAATATCTATTACTCTGAGATTTGAAAAATCATCTTATAAAAGACATGCAGATGTTTTAGGTATAATATTTAGTTAACCTCTCTGGAACATTCGACAGTGAACAGATATTTATCCATTGCCTACTGAATTGCCTGGCAGCATGCTAGGTGCTGGCAAACATTTTGATTTATCAAAATATTTCTTCTTTGCATTGTGGAAGATACTTAAAAATATGTTTGGCAGTCTTGGAATAAGTAATCTTGAATCAAATAAATCTTTCACAGTTTTGAATTATGAGTCATGGTGATTATTGGATAAACTTGATGTGCTTATGTTTATCTGTTATTGTTAAAGGTTTGAAATTAACATACTTTTTTTTTTGGATGGGGTCTTGCTTGGAGCCCAAACTCACTAAAATCCTCTTGCCTCAGCCTCCAGAGTGCTGGGATTACAGGCATATGGGCCACCATACCTGGCTCAACATACCTCTTTAAGATAATACCATTTAGATTTTTAAAGAATGCTGTGTTTTAAAATTCATGTTTTCAAAAAATAAAGTTCAGTCCTTTGAGAGAGAACAAGTTCGGTTACCAACCAATTGAAGCATAATGTTTTTTAGTAAATTTTCAGACTACAGAAGTTCCTTCTGTGCTTGAGGGAGTAGTTTCATTTTGTTTAGAAGGTGAGGTAAATACTGTTATCTAGTAAGACAATAGCTATGGCAGAAAGTGAAGGTCATTTAACTAAAGGATCTTTTTTTATAGTGGTCAGGTAAAATACTTTAAAAACTGATTTCTTGCTGTTTTTATAATTTAATTTTTTGTGCAGAGTATTGTTCTTTTGATGTGAGATAAGAGAATGGTGTGTGAATGGCTGGAAGGCAGTTACAAAGAGGAGCAAGTGGGGGTACAAGATTACAAGAACACATTGTTTCTTGCAATGTGTGCAGAGTATAGTTAAGGTATTTTTAAGTTGGTGCTTTGTTGCCTTTCAATTTTTCTAGAACAGTTCTTGGAATATGTCTCTACTTAGAAGGTGACTGGCTAGTTTGGCTCATGGCCACCATCTGTCTGATATTCTGAATGGCCCATTTATAGCAGATGAGGTGAATTAACTTTAATTGGCTCCCCTCTCATGTCCTCTTCACTCCATCAGTGAAGATGAGGGTTAAGTCTGTAAAGAAGTGAAATGACACTCAACCTCATTCAGTAAAATGAATATAAATTAAGACTAGATTGAGATACCACCTTTCACCTCTCAGACAAGTGATAACCCCAAATTTGAAAACAGAATGTTGGCAAAGCTGCCTCAGCATTTGCTGGTAGAAGTGTAAATTAGTCACAGCTCTCAAGAAGGCTTAATATAACCTGTGTCCTTTTAGCTCAGATCCAATTCTTGCCCTTCCCTTGTAGAAGAATTCACCCCTGCAGGCCTCACTTCCCAGGTTCTTGATCAGCTTAGCTGCCTTTGGCTGTCTTTGGCTCTTGGGAACCATTGGTCAGAGAGTAGATGGCTAGAGGAAGGGAAAAAGCATAGTTTCTCCTTCATTTTGTCACAACCACCAGTGTCTCTGTAGGTGTGTTTTGGGCTCCAGCTTTTCCTTCTTGATTTCAGCCTTTTCAACCCTCTGAGATGGGAGTTACTTTTTGATTGTGGTAATCCATGGGTTCTTACTATTTCCTGTTTGACCTTGTGGTTTTTGTATCACATTTATAAGCAGTTCCTTATCTTAAATTCCCTCTATTTCAGACCCTTAAAGTGATGGCTTTTTCTTTGAGTGGATTCTGATATATATAGGAATATTGGACAGTAGCTTTTTTTTTTTTTGTCTTTTTCCTTTTTATCGGTACCAGGGATTGAACTCACGACTGCCTGCTTGCAAGGCAGGCGCTTATGCTGCTGAGCTAAATCCCCAGCCCCTGGACAGTAGCTTTTAAAATTCAAGTATATAAGTCTTTGGACTCAGCAATAGCAGTTTTAGAAATTTAATCTGCAGATACATTTGTACACATGTGAGATACACAGGCACAGCATTATTCACTGCTTTAGTGTGTATCAGCAGGAGACCTGTGAAATAAATCATCTACTTAGATGCTGAATGAAAGTTGCGAAGTTGTAGAAAGGAAAGGAGGAAATTCTTTGTGAATTGATACCGAAAGAGCTCCAAAATAGCTTGTGAAGTTACAAAAGCACAGTGTTCATTGTATACTACCATTTTTGTTTTTTAGAAAAAAGGAAATGCTTATATTAAATAGCAAATAACAATGCTTACCTGTTTGGGAAGGTTAACAGAGTATATGAGCAGGGAGGAAACTTCAGTATGTGCCTTTTATTTTTTCAGTATATGCTTTTTAATTTTTTTTAGAAATTAATTTTTTTAATTAAATGTTTAAATTTATCCAAATTTTTCTAAACTTAGAAAAAAGGTTTTATGGAAAAATGGTAGAAAACTCTTGAGGGAATTTGTCTTTTTTTTTTTTTTTTTGTCTTTTTCATTTTTATCGGTACCAGGGATCAAACTCACGACCGCCTGCTTGCAAGGCAGGTGCTTATGCCGCTGAGCTAAATCCCCAGCCTCGAGGGAATTTGTCTTTGTTAAAAAATTGATATGTATTAAAGCAATAAAATGCTATCTATATTTCTAGTCAATTCATAGGAAACTAATAACCAATGTAATGTGTAATTGTATATTTGATACTGGGACGCAAACCTAGGACTTTGCACTTACCAGGCATGAGCTTTGCTGCTGAGCTATATCCCCTGAGATGCATATATGTGTGTGTGTGTGTGTGTGTGTGTGTGTGTGTATGCACACACATGTGTATGCATGCATGTAGTACTAGGACTTGAACAAGCACTCTGCTGCTGGCTACGTCTCCAGCCCTAAAATTTTATTTTTAATTGACAGTAGTACAGATTGCACATGTTTAT